AGTGATAATCTAATATTTTTTTCTATGTGCTCTTAACAGCCATTGAACACAATGAAAAAGAAAAGGATTAACTTAGAAAATATTAAAGAAGACTGTTGTACTTCATCACTGTGTCCCACTATAGCCAATTTGGCAACCATTGAACACAATAAAAAAGAATAGGATTTTTTCTTTGAGTATTAAACAAGATATTTATAGTTTATCACTGTGTCTCACTATAGCCAATCTAGGGCACATAGGAAAAATGATTAGATCACTATTTTTTTTTTTATCACAACAACTGCTTCTTTTAATAGATGATGGAGGGACTTTTTTATTTGGCAAGAATATTGTCAATATTGTGTAAAAACAGGTTTAATTTTTATTGTTTTTTAAAGAAAACGTATTTCCAATCACAAAATTACATTGTTTTTTATGCTGTTGAAAAAATTGATGCGGTCAAGAAAAAGAAACATTTTTTTAAATTTCCGCATCAATATTTCCCAATTTTTTGACGTGGGCTGGTGTGATGATCTAATATTTTTTTTTGTATAGGCATAATTATGATCTGTTTATTGTACGTTCGATTTTGATAATGATAGGAATGATAGGAGCACTGTATGATCAATGTGCGCCAAAATAAATAGATGATTAACATAAAAAGTATGATACCGTTTATTTGTACAATACTGCTATTGTTTCTAAAATTTGGTGGAGTAATGTAGTTCATGTGGTTATCATTGGAAAGTTATTGATCTATTAGTAAATTCTATGATCTGGTTGTTGTACGCATATAGACATATTTTTTACATTTTTCATTTTATTTCTTTATTCATTTTCTTTGCAATTCATGACAAAGTAAACTTAACCATACATATTCAATAACAGAGCGACGAAAAGGACCTCCACGAAACTCTTAGGAGACCCGGTGTTAAAATTAAAGTTTGTTTAGACATAAAGACAGTATATAACTGCCTAACTACAAAGATACACCCCCTCTCACCCCAACAGTCATATTTATTTGATTTACATTTATTTTGAACATTGCCATTAGGACATTGCTTAAATCCACAATAGCCTATATTTTACACTGATTGTACTGTCGGCAATACCAGAGACGTTCATTCCCATTACATTATGTTCTTCCAATTCTATAGCACATAATACAGTGCATGACAAACGTCACATAACCACTACTAATTCCACCTTAATTCGGAGTCGCTCAGTTCAGTCTTACATTTGTAAATGTTCGTATTGACACTGTGTATTTAGCATTGTTTTAAAGTAATAACCTATCAGACATTTACATGAACAACAAAACGAATGGAAATATATTTGTCTTAACTATTGTTTTCAGCAAAGTGGCGTATCCATATTTTAAAGAAGGGGGTGCTGATGTAATGCGAGTCCACATCACGTCAGTGCCATCGTGGTTGGCGTTGACGCAAAAAATTCAGTATTTTATACCACTGGATGCCCCAAAATGGAACTTACATTACCTATTAAATAATAATGTTTTTGACAAATTGAGTAAAAAAAAAACCCCAATTAATTAATTAGGTACCCGAAAATGAAATTTAAGTACTTACTATTCTAAAAACTACCATATTCAACTGAGCCCCACTATGGTCAGGGCTCAGGTGAGAACATTTTGAGAAGTTGAGACTCGTTAGATGCACAAAAAAGCACTTGAATAGTACAAAATTTACGATATCCACCTGAGCCCCACCATGGTTTTGGGGAGCAGATGAGTCAATTGCAAGAATTTGAGACTTTATAGATGCCCCAAAACAACACTCGGATACTTAAAATTTATGAAAATTTTAAGCCGCCTATCTCAGCCCACCATGGTTGAGGGTGAGGTAAAACAATTTTAAGAATTAGAGACTTTTAGATGCAGGAAAGTGGCAAATACATCAACAAAAACGGGATGTCAACGGGACGCAACTGCCAAAAAACTTGGCAGCGAAAGGACGCTACCAAAAAACAATCAACGAACTACCGGGTTTCTGGGTTGATTTCCAAGGTACTACATGGCTCAACTATGTTTTACTTTAGGGTTAATTGGTAAAAATCACACACAAATCATACGACGTCACTGACAACGCCGAGGACGGCAACTCGATTTTGAGATTAATTTTCCGAATAAAGTTATACTAAATAACTTCTAATAACGAACTATTGTCTTCAGTTGTCTTTGTTGGTCATTTAACTGTCATTTTATCTATTTTTTGGTGATATTACCATTCTCAATAATCTATAAAACACCCACATAACAACGTCACGTTAGATCGATCAGTGGGGACGCCGTGGTGACGCTGGTAGGGTCAACTTTCATCGGAAGGTATCAAGATGATAAACAGTTTCATTGGACTAAATTCTTGCTTATGTTAACCACATGCTTACCTAAGATTATACTAACTCTGGTTTCAAATCAGATCGGTAGTTAAAAATCACCTTATTTTGCGAATTAGCGCCCCTTAA